AAAAGGACACCAAATCAGAAATTCCTCTTCTTCCAAGAGGATCGATCGTCACATCCGTTCGATCCAAAATAAAATATTTCTCGCGAAACGAAGAAACGAAACTTGGCTGCAACAACTATCTTGCCGTTAACACGAAGAGATCGAAGAGAAACGGTAAAATGGTAATGAGGACAAAGAGATGAGAGACGAAAAACAAGAGAGCACGAGTGGAATAATAGGACTAGGCGAGTATATATATAGTCACGAATGGAGAAAAGGCCAGTGAAGAGAGAGAGAGAGAGAGAGAGAGAATTCGTTGCCGGAGCAAGGACAACGGATCCAGTCATTGTTGCTTTCCTTCTTAATCCCGACGATCCTGCGCGACTTTCAGACAGTTTCTGCTAACGAGCAGTATTCCCATAAGCCTTTAGTCTCGGTCGTTTTTTTTTTTCGTTTTTATTATATATATATATATCTATCTACCTGTGACAAACAACAAGGAGGATGTCTTTCTGCGTTTCCCATTGTTTTCTAGGATGCGTATTTGACGTCGTTGGCTCACGTGGGAAGGAAGTGTACGAAAGGAGGGATGCAAATAAACGAGTCTTCAAGGACGAGTTCTTCCAACGAACGAAATCTGGGCTAATCCTTGGAGAAAAAGTGGAACTTCTTTTTGAAGCTCGTTTCGAAAGGGGTATTTTTTTGGTTTTGGCTTTGCACGATGAGATTTAGATGGGAGTTTTGCGAAGTTGGAACGATGAAGTGGCACACAGTTTGTTTGTTTGTTTTTGTTTTCGATGAAAAAAGATTTTCTTTTTTTTTGAAAAACTTGATCATTTACACGATGACGATGAATCTTTGTTTGTTAATTTTTCTTCTCTTTTGGAAGGAAGGAAATATTGTTGAACAATTTTTCGATATAAATTATTAACGAGTTAACGAGCGTTATGTCGAGGAATTAATGACAAATGCGTTGAACGAGTAAATAGAATAAGATTTATACGATGTTACGATGAAAATGCTCTGCTTCAAATATGAAATTCGTATTTTCAACGGGGAGGTTTTAAACGGTGACAGCAGTGACATTCATACAACGCATACCCATTAGCGATTTCATAATTGCACCAAAACGAACCAAATTGCCTATAAACAGACAAAATGAAACCTCGCGCGAAACTCGCCTCTCCTCGAAACGAGAAAATTTATTCAAATCGTTTCGTCAATAATATGCGTACGATGAAAATTATTGTTAAATATAATAGCTCCAACGATGAGAATATTTCATAATACCTTTTAATAATTTTCTTTCTTACCAATCAAATTATATACGTAAATATGCTATTAAATTAAATAATTCTTTCAAAACAGATTCAGTTAATTTTAAAGTAACATGAAAAATCAAAGGATCAATTTCCAAATACATTTCATCCCTCCTCATTCGATCCTTCCACATTTCTATCGAATATTCATATTCCATTCCAATGTCCCTTCATCATTAAGAAAAATATCAAAGCGGATCCATCCAATATTTTCAATGTATTTAAATGAACAATCCATCATCGATACGTTTCTTCCGATCATCCCCGATCTTCATTCACGAAGATTTAACACGTTAAACGTATCCATTTGGATACGATGGAAGCAAGCGTCATCTCAAAATTCAATCTGCATCAACCCTTTATTACGGCCTTTTTTTTTCAATAAACACCGTCAAAGCAACTCGAATTTCGAGGCGTAAACGCGGTCTCTGACGATCTTTCTCTGCACATTTTCGATGCGGCGTGGAAGTCGCCCATAGCGAAAGACTTAAAATATTCAACGCATTTAACAACCCTTCCCAGATATCCACATCGATCACCGCCCTTATTTGATTTCTCTCGCGCGCTTACGTGCTCCACACAGTGTCAAAGATGATTTTTACGGTGCACGAGGATTGGCGCATCCAGCCAGGAAATTCGCGATACGCGTATTTATGCGTCGCGTTCTGAATTACGATACGCGCGTTTCCGTTAACAAGGATCCGTTCCTTTCCTTCCATTTCAACGAGGAAAGAGAGAGAAGGCCAATGCAAAGGAGAGAGAGAGAGAAAGAGAGAGAGAGCAGCCGACAAAGGGCTGGGCTTCGTGCGCTTAGCACGGTGGAAAGCTGGTTTAAACGAGGGCGGCCGAGACCAGGTTTATGGCTGTGCAGCAGCAGAGTGGCCAGCGTGGTGTATGCGCATCTCTCTGAATATATCGTTGTCGATCGCAGTCTCTCCGCTCTGACTCCTGTCCGCATCGACAAATTATGTGGCCGAACGAATTCTGAAGTGGCCACGGGAAAACGCATCGATCCGCGCGCGCCTCCCCCTTCCTCCCCTCTTTGGCTTCAACCTCGCTCTCTGTCGGATGCACGATAGAAAAGGCGAGGCTTCGTTTTCTGTTGGCAAAATACAGCTCGTGCACAGCTCGCCTCGCTGCAAGGTTCGACGTCCTTTCGCCGCGGAACGATCGGCTCGGCCTCGCCGAGCGGAAAATTGGATCCGTGGACTTGGAGAGAGAGAAGGAGAGAAGAGAGAGAGAGAGAGAGAGAGGTGAGAATCGGATCCGCGTTTCGGCTTAACGTGGACGTCGAGTGTGCCGCCTGTCACGTTCCTGAGATTGCCTCTCAGATTTTGCATTTTTAACGCTTGATTTTCGATCTGGTGAATCTTGTTGTCGAGCAACAAATGATATTTTCTTTTTTAAATATCGATTTATGAATCGAGTTTATAATCGAT